CATGCATGAAACTTAAGGCAAACTGCAACTAGCAGGAACAAAAGTGCGACAATTTCGTGGTAATATGGTAATACCCCTCCCACGATACACTGATTACATACCATCCACAATATGGAGCCAGATGGATTTTCAAAATTCTGTCCACTCCACCTTGATTTTATTGTCGCTAGACCGAAGTCGCCAATCTTCACCGTTAAATCTTCTTGAAGAAAGATATCTGTAGACAATAAATCAAGGGTAATATCTACAAAGCGACGAATTATTAATGAAAAACGCTATATACAGTAAAGCAATTATGGAAATATATTTAGTCTACTGCATGAATACTCCAGTAAATGAGAATTTACAATAAGCAGGTTTTGAAAGTACATCCTAAAGTATAGGTGTCTGTGACTAAAGCAACCATCTTGTTATTTTCGTTATTCCACTTATGCCATATATCGTAAAACCACTTTGCACAAAAGCACAACGAACCATTTTCTAATCACTCGCCCCTCAAACGCCGGCCATTTTGAAAGAGGGACGATTTTTCAATCAAAGATGACACAACGTCCTGTACGGGTGTGTCGTGAAATTTCTTTAAGACACAAAAAGAACCTACAAAGAAAAAATCAAGGAAAAGGGTGGCTCATTTTGAGAGTCGTTGCCACGGCCACACGACTTGCACGGCCACACGACTTGCACGAGCATAATAAGATGACTTCGACTTTGCCGGAACAAAAAAAGGGAATTCAAAACAAACTTAACATGGAAGGCAAAACGTCCTACTGCCTCTGACATGCATTGCTGTGATTCCAATACAAGATTTACCCGACTGACAGAGTTACAGAGCTACAGACTCCAATATCCAGTAGGTAGCAAGAAATGAAGTTTCTTTCTATGATAGCAGCTTCACGCATTTTGCTTAACAAAGATGATATTATTAAAAAAAGCATTTGCCACTCAATTGCGACAAGCTGCCTGTTAGGGCCTGAGGGGTCGCAACTTGTTTCTCTAATTGTCGAGTATTTCCGAACTTTAAAACAAAAGGATACTGTTTGACTTTAGATCACGATGAATAATTGACTTCGCATGGAGGTAACTAAAGTAAAACATAAATCTATATAATAAATGTAGTCTTTAAAGTGACTAGGCTCTGCGGTTTGGCATTGTAGATGGAAGCAATGTTCTCACATGTTCCCGAAGCGCCCCAAAGGGCCAATGCATAAACCACTAAGCCGCCGACGTCCTTTATTTCTGGGTGTTTACATACACGTTTACAACGGTATCGGGCCCACTCATCAGCCTATATATGCTCTTTACCAGAGATACTTACTCCATTCCTTGGGCTGTTTGTCTGCCTATATCTAACAATTGTAATATTTCAAATTTTGATTCGTTCACGTGAAGATGGCGGTATAACGTCGAGCCCTCGCACCATTGCGTGACGATCGCTAGCGACGGTTTTGATATACATCCCATGAATAGTAACACGTTAATATGTCTCGTTTTCCTGCAAATATAAATGGCGTTTTAGTGACAGACACATATAGTTCATACTATAGCAATGGAAAAAAATTGTGAAATCCGTACTATGGAATCTCCAATTTCATATACCATATACTATATACATACAGTATACTATATATCCATAGCATGGAAATTGAAATTAGTGTGAAAATCGGATTTCCGTTCTATTTCGACCGAGATCCATATATACTATTTACATAATAAGTACTTTGGATCCAGTGAAGTGCTATGGCCAGGGCGCGCAACAGCAATTGCGAACACTAGCGGAACCCCCCCAATAATTTCTGAATTATAGCTGTACAGCAATAAGCTGTGATCACCTAAATATTAAATAAGCTGAGGTCACCTAAAAATTGATCACCTAAATATTAAACTATATATTGAATGAAATTTAAGACGAAAAACTACTTCGCCCCCCTCCCTCCCCCTCCCCCTCCCCCAATATTTCTCGAAGTGTCCGCCACTGTGCAAAAGCTCATAAGAACTGCAAGTGCATTTTGCATGTGACAAAAGCACCAAATGAGGTACAGCAATTGCTATATATTGCACAGCAACGAAAATTCAAAATCCTATTCAGTTCAACCATAGTTAATATATGGTTCAACATCAGTTGTAATATTGCACCAGATTTGATAGTTTAATCCCACTCGAGATTATTTTACGATTTTACCGATCTACTACGTGATCTTAGTTACATTACCGTAGTACGGCTACTTCGTTCTTGAAAGCTTGAAGTTGTGCTGGTGTGGGATCTGTTATATTTAATCGTTTAACAGCAACTGTACCTAAACACAAGAGATTCAAAATATTACGATTAACATTTCTATAGCGAAAAAATTGCGTCTGGGCATGATTCTGGGCCGTTTATCAGATCTGTAATATTTGCTGCCATTTATATAGTGCGATTTTCGTCTTTAGATGCATGTGAATGAGCGGATGAGTTATGATATTCTCAGCTATATGCACCCTCATCTAAACATTCATAACTCATCCACTCGTTTACATCAATCACAAGAAGAAAACCGCGCCTAAAATCGCAACGGGTCTCAATTACGAAAGATAATGCAACGGATGTTAGCAAGCAAGGATGAAACTATCAAATATTTAATAAACGAACGTACCATGCCATTGCGCTTTAAAAACTGTCCCATACGAACCAGATCCTATCCGTTCACCCATTTCTACTTCTTCTTCCGGAATTTCCCAGTCATCGTTCGAATTATGACGAGGTCGCATTTCTCTCTAAATTATACAATCCAAAGTTTGCCATTTTATTCATACCTTACATAATAATAACTTAAAGACTCAAATTGAACGTACAATAATTTCTTGAGAAAACTACTTGTGTAACTTGCACAAGTGTCCATTTTATTAATGTACAAAGATGACACGTGTTGGATGAAAGAATCATATCAAGACTTAGTTATTTTGACTTACCACTTCAGACGAAGATTTCGCACGGGATTTAAACCGCGTGGTAGGACGATTTAAGCCAAGATTCGGCGTCAACGGTCGCTCGGGTAAAACGTGATTTCCAGTATGTAAGGCGAAGTCGCTCCTGAATTCTTTTCCATTGGGGTCGAAAACGTTGTATACCGGAGGAGGTGATCCTACACTTTGATACCGAGTGTTCCTTCTCTCTACACCTAGTCGAGCTGCATTTGCAACTGCACATAAATAAACACTCGTTAAGACTAGAATATATACTGCATTCTTGAAGATTTCATTTTTGTAGAGGTAGAAAATTTTCATTCGAATGAAGCTTAACCCATTAAGCTGCAGAGCTTCCCCATTGAGGAGTAAATCGTCTGACGTTAGACAAGTAAAAAAAAGTAGGGCGCACTGGGGCTCAATGGTTTAACTAGAGACATTGTCAGATTTTTTGGTTAACACATTAAACTGCATAGCTTCTCCATTGACGAGTAAAATCGTCTGGCGTTAGACAAGTGAAAAAAATAAGTAGGGCGCACTGGGGCGCATTGCGGCTCGGCTCAATGGGTTAAGGCACTTTTCCATTCATCGCAAGAGTCAATTCGCGAGTACTCTCATCCAATCACAATGCTCAACAGTTTATTTTAATTAGATACAAGCACTAAGTTGGTTTTTGCGATTAGTGGATGAAAAGAGCCTTTCGTGATGAAATTTCTTAATTTGCCGTTGATTGTGGAATGCAACTAAATTTTAAAAAAATGTAAGCTTCATGTGGTTAACAAATGCATGTATGTTATTGTACACGATTACATTAAAAAGAAATAAATCTTTAAAAAATAAATAAATAAATAAAATGTGCCTTGACGGTAAGCTTTGTTTGTTGAATTTGTCGTGTTACCAACCCTCCAATTAAGAACTTGTAAGATAGAAGCTTTGTGGGGAAACTGGATATATTGCAGGTTTTTCCTGGCCTCCCTGACTTTCCATCTGTAGTATGAGTGATGGGAATGCTCAAATATATGTCTTCTATACGATTACAGATGTGGTGAAAGTTGGATTCTTCGTCTATGGGGAATACACATTCAGTGTATTTGTTGGGGTTCATAGATTCAGGTTATTTAATGTAAATATGATCAGTCGAATCGTAGGTACTGTCCAAGGGGGATTATCACCCTTGGTTCAGGTCTATGTCAAAGGGGGTCACTACCAGTCTGGCAGAGCCCTATAAGGGGTTATGACTCCTATCGCAGGTCTTATATATAACCCTGCGGGACGAAAACATAAGACTTAATGCGTTTTTGGGTTGACCAGAGTTTAAGACTACATATAATGTATATAATTGGTTCACTTCACCCTGATCCCATTCCCCCACAATGATTTGATGTGTGTTTTATTTTTGGGCTGTTCTTTCACGTATAACGTGCTTGAATCATTATGCATTATTATCTAATATTTAACCAGCCTAACATTACAGACAGCGTTGTCCACTTAACGTGCGAACGATTTAGCTTATATTAGTAATATTACCTGAAATAGTCGCCGATGGATCTTTTGGGTACTGAAATGCGTTCTAAAGGAAAACAAAGAGGTTGTGAAAATTTCTGCTGGTCAGTTTCAAATGACCGCATAATACAAACAAACAAACAAACAAACAAACAAACAAACAAACAAACAAACAAACAAACAAACAAACAAACAAACAAACAAACAAACAAACAGACAGACAGACAGACAGACAGACAGTTTTTCTCCCACATGAATGAAATGAAACGAAACAGATCGTTAAAAATTCACTCAGCTAACTAAAACCTCCTCTTCTTAACAAATTGCAGGCATAATTACCTCACCATCAGGTAAACCGATTTTATGAACATTTGGGGCGGATATAGATCGCTCCCTTGATATTAGATTATCTGGATTTCCTCTCTCGTTGAAGTTGGCTTCTTCCTCGCGGTTGTTAATATTCACGAGACTAAGAAGAAAATATATCATTATAATAATATATATTGAAAAGAATTAATTTGAATTATTTAATTTCAATTCACAAAACAGTTCCTATTTCATTTAGATAAAATTGCAGGGATAGATTTATACAACGGGACGCAAGGGGGTGCTAATTTCTTTATCAAACCAACTTTTGATTTGGAAGTGAAATCACAAAAACAAACTAGAAACAAAATAAGATGGTAAACATGATTGTGAAGTTGTCAAACTAGGCTACACACTGGTGCCTTCCTGTCGTAGCCCTCTCAAATGATTACGCACTTGGTCAACGGCCGCAACCTGCCTGTTTCACTGAACACCCATCGAATGAAAATTTTCGAAATCAGCATTTTCCCGGCTTTCCTCACTGAAAATTTGGTAAAGTTACACCTAAAATTCGTTGCGCAATGTCCAATTAGCCTTTCTCACGCCGCCATTTTTGGGGTACTTTTTGCCAATCCTGCGAGCGTAACACCACGTAGCGGCAACATTTTATAATTTTATGGACGTATGATGGTAAATTTGGTAAATAGTTAGTTTGTTCTGAAATATTGCTTTTCACGTTGTTATAATCGCTTACGAAAAATTACAGTACCCCAAAAACGGCGGCGTGAGAAGGCCAATAGACTAAAACGCACGTTCATCGTGTGAAGTAACCTTAAATTAAATTACACGTGAAACTGCTATTACCTACACTAATTCAAATTTTTTTCAAAATTCAAATTTCACGCCTAACGTTGTCGTGCTTGATTTATACAGTACAACTCAATTAGTTAACGTAAGCAGGTTGCATGCGACAGTTTTAGGAAAAAATTGTGTAGTGTGAATCAGCCTTTAGAAAGTCCACACACTTACAATTCATAAACCTTCTCCTGTTGAACAGCCAGACATATAAAAGGAACATTAGCAGCACATCTTTGATGGAACCGATACCCACATATCTGACATCTGTAAACAAAACAGTGTTCAACAAACACACAACATTTTGCTGTTAGGAGCCAGTTGTTCGAATACGACGGGTTAGTGTTTGACCTTGGGTTATAACGAAAAATGTTAAAGCAAATGTTCCAACAAATTGTTTATAAGCTTGAAAACGTTTTCCAGAAATCTTACCTAGACCAATAAAAGTTTTATTCCCTATACACTTTTGAAATAAACGAATTAAAACAGCAGGTTAAATTTTAACCATGAATGGTTCGTGTTAATCGAGCTTGGAACAACTGGCCCCAGGTCCACGAGCTGTCGAGACTGGAGATCACTGTTTTTCTTATTTTTTATAGAGAGTTTGGCAACCGACAATGGCAACGTAAGTGAGATAACGCACACATAGCTGTAAACCTCATTTGTTCTTAAAACTACTTATCTTCCTTCTAAACAACCCTCAAGAAGCAATAGTCAGTAAATTCCCATAAAACCCCCCCCCCCCCCGCACGACTTCGGACGTTTTAACTGTTGGCGTGGTTACGAGCCGTGAAAAGAATGTATAGCAGTTTGAAGAACTATGGCATACTAGAATGCTCAAGGGAATACAATTTATAGTCGCCTTTGTCTTGGAGTAAAAATCGATTGATCATGATCACGTCTTTATTGACGTTGCCGTTGTATTTGCCAAACACACTTATATCTGTACAGACAACGGCACAAAATGTTATTTAATAGTTGTTTCATATCATGCCTGTATATTTAGTTTTCTTGCAGGTAGCCAAAAAAATTTTGCAATTAGTTTGTGGAAATTTTTAAGTATTTTTTTAGTTAGTATGTATAAAAACTTCAGAGTTCAGACAAGGATTGCAGTTAGCTTCAGACACTTGCAGGTAGCGCCACTACCTAGGATACCCTGTTCTGACAAGCATGTTTCACGTAATAAAGGAAGTTGAAAAAAGCCCAACTAAGTTCGCACCGAAAGGTGTTCGGGCTTTGAAGCGCGATGGAAAGAGATTTAAGCGTCATTTGGCGACATCTTTGATCTGTACAGACCTTGCATGCTTCTTATTAGAGACTCGACGACATTACGTCACTTAAATCATGTCTTGACGACATTACGTCACTTAAATCATGTCTTGACGACATTACGTCACTTAAATCATGACGGGGAGATTGAACCTAGACTAGTAGCGATGCTACCCATAGCAACAGGTCATGCTATCCAAATTTTTAATTGATTTGCATAATTCAAACATTTAGAAATGTATCGTCTATTTAGATGTAGGTTTATTAGCATAGCATGACCAGTTGCCATGGCTAGCTTCGCCACTGACCTACAATCCTGGACAAAACATCTGCGACACTTCCAATTATACTTGACAAAATATCGTAATGTTATCGTAAATTTAGAAAACCTCCCCCTTTCCCCCACCATTCAATGTTGATTGGATTCGTAGAATACGGATAAAACGTCCAACATTGTTTTTGGGGGCGGAGGGGGGCAAACGAGTAAATTATTCCGGTCTAACTGGTAAAAAAAGCCACAAAGGAATGTTTTATCGGTTTTAATAGAGTGTCGCAGATGGTTTTGTCCAGGATTGTAGGCTATCGATTTTATACAAACGGCAACGCATCATACGGGTCTTTTCGTTTGGAGCTTCATTCAAAGGCACACACATTGCTGGAAAATGTCCGCAGCAGCTCGAGCAGCACTGCTGCCAGGAAACGTTTAACAAAGTATCTTCGCAGGAAATGTTCTTACACCTTGCAGTCATCTTATATACTGAAATGCCATAATTTACTTATTGCAAGTCCTGATTGTCATGTTCTGAGATTGAAGTTTATCACAATACGCACCACACGTTCCTGAAACATACCTATGTAGGAATATATTTGACTTGCACAGGAAATCTTTAGTTTTCGATTTTGCTGCCAGGAATTAGAGAAATATATTTTCTAGGCCTGGTTATTATATAAGTTCAATAAGAGAAACTTACCGAAATCCTTGAAAAAGCAGTTTACGGCACGCGTCACAAAATGCTAAGGTGAAAAATGTTTTCCTTATCTGAAAATAAAGGATTACACTTAAAGGAAGTTGAGACAACTATATTAAGTAAATATGTTATTTACCGGCTGGGAAGTCCGTACTGAAAAATACTTTCCCAAAATCTCAGAAGCGGACCGAGACCGAAGGTAGAGAAGGTAAAAAAAGGTGGTCCTTCGAATCTCTAAACCTTAAACCCTAAACCCACTCTTTCTACACTATGAAAATTTGATCATTTTTGGTATATAGTACAATCTGCAGACATGCATGTTTCGGCGTTCTGCGCCTCGTCAGTGCATCTTGGTACACGTCTAGATATGCGATGCATTCGTATATTTATATATCGCATGAGCTTGCTCTCACCAAGATTCTTCATGTGGTACAACACGACGACATCAACGCATCCAGACATGCGCAGAGTATAATATTCGATGCTGAATAAACGAATATGTTTATGGCATTCAGTATAGCGATCTAAATGCGCAGCCCCAATATTTATAGTGTCCGCCACTGGAAGGAACAACAACAGAAGTAAATTTGCGTAACGAATTAGAGGTTTAAAAAATAAAATATTTTATTTCAAGACAAACTATAACGTCGTTTTTGTAAATCAGATCAAACTTGTAGCATTCTGTACTCGTGGATCTTTTCCATAAATAAACAAAAGAAACACCGACACATTTGCCTGAAGAGATGAATTTATGTTCCAATCAAAGATAAAATCCATATCTTCTCATCCCTGCATGTGAAATATGCTATCTATATGTGTATATTATATCTTTTTAGGAGTAAGAAGGACTTGAGGTTAATACCTTCAAAAGTATTGAGTGATACGGAAGTTTTTGTAAAGACAGTTTTATACATGCAATCGATTTCTAACATGATTATTATACTTACAAAGTTGTGAGAAATGCTACTTGATATTGGAATGTTTCCACGTTTTTCCACTGATATCTAAAAATATTAACCAAATCACCATGATCCTATAGGCATAATCACACTGGTCATAATTTTTGTTCTTACTTCGTACCTCGGACAGAGACAGAACTATACTACACTGACACGAATGAGGCAAATCCAGTACAAAGATTGAAGGGTTTTTTAAGAGTGTCCATGCAATTTTTGTAGCGATTCTTATCCCGATGAAAAATAAGATAATCCAACTTTGGTATTCACTTTTTCACTCTAGCTCTAAAAACACCAACGTTAAAATTCCCCTGGTCCTTGTAATTATATATATAACCAAGGGCCCCTGGATAACATGGCTCTGTATCCGAAATTGTGTTGCAAGTTGCATGCATCAAAGATTGCACCGTGTAACATGGCCTTTGGTCAACTGATGTTATATAATAACCATCTGTTCATCCCAAGAAAATTCACGTGATGGTGGAAACGGGTTAAAAAGTAGACGCCAATGTACGGTGTATGTGCAAAATGAAATGCACATTGGTATGTACAGAGTACTTTCGTTAACTTCGTCAAATATATTCACAGTACCTCATCGCCTTCGTTTAGTTCTGAGAGATCAGTGTTCCAAGATATTTCTTGTCTATAAAGAATATATTAAGTTCTAGCTAAAGTACGAGCGCCTGATTTGCATGCATGTGCTGTCAAAACAAATTGGTTATAGGTGTGTTTACACGCTGCGATTTGTCGTGTACGATACGTATTCTGGCGTATGAAAATTACTGCTGACGCCACAACTCCTCTTCTTTTAGTTCACAGCGAAATTTGAAATGTACAGTAACTACTTTTCGCGTGCCTATTCGATTACATATACGCCAGAATACGAATCGTATATACGCGTGTAAACGTATACCTTAAAATAACCCATAAATTGGTTGTCTCGAGCAAATGAATATGCAGACCTGTTTTAGACGTCGAATTTCATTTCGTAAATTTCATGCTTGTGAAGTTACTCAACGGAATTTTGAAATCAATTTACAAAAATTTTTGTTGTCTGATTTGAAAGAACTTTATAATTATCTCTAAAATATTTTACAGATTTTTGGCATCTTGCTTGATTCTGGAAATATTTTGACTGAAAGCAATGAGCTGTCCATCTTGGATTAATTCTTAACCTTATTACCTGTCGTTTTGATAACGTCAGGAGCGTGGTTAGCCTTATAAAAATTACTTCTAAGTTACCGACTAACAATCAAATGTTGTTTAAAATCGTTTTAGTCAATTCGAAATTTGAAGTAGCAATTTAGAAATTTAGAAAATATATAAAAAAAAAATATATAATTCAGACTTTTAATTTAGAAATTGTAAAATTATATAATTTAGGAATTATTTGTATTATGTGTCCTGTGATGTTAGTTTAATGTTCTGTTTGTAATTGGGAAACCATTCTTGAGGGAATCTTGAATTCTGTTTATGGTATGCCCTAATACATCTAATTTGATATTTGTAAATATATGGAATTATATGTATTGAATTTTAATAAATACAAATACAAATACAAAACAGGTTTTACTTCATATTGATCCCTGGCTGTCAAGAAAAAAAGCTTGAGTGACACCACTTGTGACGCAATACGCATATCCTCAATAATCGAAGATGGCGGACAGCTCATTGCTTTCAATCAAAATATTTCAAGAATCAAACAAGACATAAAAAATCTATAACAAGATTTTAAAGATAATCGTACTTTCAAATGAGACAATAAAATTTTTTGTTGCTATTGTCCTATTCAACGATTTAAATTCGACGTCTAAAACAGGTCCGAGACGACCATGAAATTTATGGGTTGTTTTAACCAGGTTGTTTTTACACTGTGATCATTTACGTTAGAAAATCTCATATATAATAAACATACAAGATTTTAAAAAATAATATATTTTCCCCTTACTTAGTACGACCTGGTGTTGATAGGCGAACAACAAAACACATATCTGTAGATAATCCTCTCATCATCATTCCCTTACTGAGAGCTTCTTCGATCGTTGTCCCTGGTTTATACTTGATCTACACAAACAAACGTTGAGATTAAGTGCAATGATTTGATACTGGTGTACTACCTATACAGCGTACACCGGGCATTTAGCCAGACGGCCGTTCAAATTTGACGGCCACTTTTGAATTAGGACTTATACGTGGTCATGGACGGCCTAACACAAATGTTTTCTTATCTGCGATGATATATTAAACAGCAACTGGCGGAAGCTTTGTAATATTTCTTGAATACCTCAAAAGTCGTCAGCTGCTCTTTACTTTATCTATTGCATGTCGAAAAGAAGTTGGACTATGAGAAAATGGCAATTGACCACAAAAATAGACAGCCACACCCACTATATTTTTCGGGCAGCCAGTCTTGAAACCCTGCAAGCTAAAAGCCTTCGTTATAAACAAGTATACAAAGTCCATGTGCATCATTGCATCTCATTGAACGAGAGCGTATCACGTGTCATGAAATTCGACTGTCTCCTGGCATTAGCTTTGAGCGGTGGAAAATACCAGTGAATAATAAAATCGTTCCGTTATTTTTTTCCGTTTCGTTTTCTTTAACACTCGCCACAAAAAAGTGGCTGAGGAGCCGTCGAGGCGAGTGGGTCACTATTTTGTTCTTTCCACATTATGATGTCATATTGTGTATATATAACTGAACAGACAACGGCAAAATCTTATCTATTTGTTTTATATAATAAAAAGAACCCCCCCCCCCGAATTAAACAGGTAAATAGCTTTCTTTTTATCCACGCAAACATTTGGAAATTTGAAAAAGTCAAAATTTTACAAATATCACGCGTACATGATCTATATACAAATAAGAGAATGCTATTGGCTACCGCAAGTCACGTGCTGTGTTGTGATTGGCTGCACGGAACAAATAGTTTTGTGTGACGTAATTCCGTGCGTTTGCCCTCTAATAGATCATGGCTCTCGACCGCTTGAATTCTTAGCGTTATTATATGATACTGCATGTATATTAAGTTTTGTGTTCAAGTTTTTAATTTTTTTTGCAGTGTTGTTTACTTGATTCTATGTTGAGATATCCAATCTTGTTTGATAGAGACATTTTGATAGACCTCAATTTTTGGTACGGCATGGACAAAACTGGTACCCGTACCAAATTTATCCGTACTTGGCCTTTAAAAGTAGGTAGTCCCGGCATGGATAAAAATGGTATGGGTACCAAAATTGAGCGTAGTGTTTACGAGCCTTCAAAATCACGTATATTTATCTATTTCATGCAATATGTCTGCTCGTGTTGCACATTAACTTGAAACAGTATATACTTACAGCAGTGCGCTGTTTATTTGGAAGATAAACTCTGACATGCGCATACGTCACAGGAGAGCCAGGGACGTCACATGTTGTCGAGCTAGTTCTTGAACTTGACGAGGTCGGTGTCGTACATGAAGGTAAACTTTCTGTGTCGGTCGGGTGGTCCGTAGAACACGAGTGATTATCACTGCTGGATGGCCATCTGGATTCCAATAGCTCTTTCTCTTTAAACCGAAGTTGTGAGAGTTTAATCTGAAGTTCTTCATATTCCTATGTAATAAACACGTCTTGATTAGGTTTTTTGTCCTAACTAAAGAGCTGCATGTTACACTATAATCCTTGGGATAGCCAGAATAGAATTCAACATGGTTTTGATGTGTTGAATATGTCACTGGGAAAAATGTGAAATCCATACTATGAGATTTGCAATTGCACCATTTCTATACTAAATGTATATCGATAGTATTATTATTATGGATAATCAAATTATGGTTATCCGATTATACAATTATTATGGATAATCAAAAATCCATAATTTCCAATAAAGGTCCATGCAATTTCCATTCTATGGATTTTCAAATTTTCTTCCAGTGTATAAGCCATCAAGGGTCAAACTTTTTGTCATAAACTTGAAAAATCCTTTTGCTTTGTTCTAAATAATTATAACCTCAAGCTGTGTAAAACAGTCCCCAGATGTTCGGACTAGTTAATATTGTTCGTAGGCTTTTAACATCTACACTGGTTGTGTATCATTTAATCATGCAGAAAAACATTACGCATCTCGCCCTGCAAAACACAATGCTATAGGTTTGTGGTTGGAAATTTTGAAGGAAAACCTATGTACATATTTCGCATGATATGCGATAAATTATATATAGCGCACTCGAGTATTGAAGGTCAATATGGCAAATGAAAGAATGTCTTTGGTCACAAATACAGTACATGGCAATTACGAAGCGTTTATATACGAAGAAATTGACTCAGAATATTTTTGCAACTACACACGTAAAAACGCACAGGTTGTAACAAACCTGCCGCAGACTTGTAGCAATGTTGTTCCAACAACTTGTCAACAGGATGTGTTCGCACTGCTTGATCCCAGCTTGTTGACAAGTTGTCAACAGTTTGTTGACAACTTGCTACAAGGTTATTGAGTTCAACAGACTTGTTACAAGTTGTTCCAACGACTTGTTATCATCCTGCAATTCAACAATTTGTCAACAAGTTGTGGGTGACAACCTTGTAGCAACTTGATAAAATAACAGCTTTGTTACTTGTTGACAAGCTTGCTACAAGCCTGTTGCGAACACATCTTGTTGACAAGTTGTGAGATTTTTACGTGTGTACCACCAATTCTTTGTTTGCAATCACGTGACTTTTCATCATCCAAATGACGGGCAATCAAACAACTTGTGAACGATTTTTCTTCTATCATGCATGCAGAATGGTTGTAGTAAGTAAAACTGAACGGCAATTCATCTTTCGAGTCTTAAACTGTCTCTAAACTCGATTAATACATTCAAATAGCCGTTTTCTGTTATACCCGCCCGTCAACTGAAATCCCAAAATTACGTCGTTGCAAACAAAGAATATACGCTGCAAGAACAGATTGATTAAAATGACTAATTTGAATTGGTTGTCTCAGCTGCACTTATTTGACCAATATTTGTTGGTTATAAAACAAACAAAAAATTGGGGTATTTTAACCAATTTTTCGGTTGTTTTGATCAAATAATATTGGTCGAAAGAAAATGCATCCGATTCAAATTGGTTGTTTTAACCAATTCGTTTTTACAGTATATTTTTCAAATCGGACAACGTCACTTTTCATATGCATGATTGCCTTAATATTCTCTCATAAAAAGTGTGAAAAATTGAAAAACAGTCTGGGGATGCCGCCAACTCAACCCTCCCCCCCCCTGGGAATGTCACGTGTCACTAACAATATTACACATGTCCTCAAATGTTCCTCGTGATCTATATAGAAACCACTGCAGTCAGGTCTTGCGGTGTTGTGGTCACCACAATTGCCTTTCGAACGCCATGAGAGACCTGGTTCAATCTGTGGTCGGGCCTCGGATCTACTGAAGGTCTTAAAATAATTGAGGAGAAAGTGCTACCTTTACATTGACATTTGTTTAAATTGTTAGACTTTCGCGTCTTCTACGATAATGGCGTTAAATCGTATGTACGTCGGATCCCCTATCAATAGACAACTTGCATGTTAGACTAATTTTTTATTTAGGCAAAAAAAAGTAAATTCCCGTAAAGAACTTATTAAAATCAGTAAAAATGCAAAATTTGGTTACGAAATGTTGTACAGCAATTTTCGTCCAAGCACAAACCGCAAACATTTTCGCGCGTTTGTTTACGTTTGAAACGGGGCGTTTACCGTTGGAAACTGAAATGTTTCACCGCTCATGTGACGTGTCACATTGAAAAGCCTTAAGCTATTTTTGGCGCAACTGTCATGTTTTGACGTGTTTCCGTGCACGTTTCAATATTTCCAAGCCCATGATAATACGTTTTAGTCACAAAAAGTATGAATATAAACAAGTTTGGTCGCTCTTACAATATCGTGAGCTTGGAAATACTGAAAAGTACACGAAAGCACATCAAAACATGAAAAATAACTGAATTATGCTTTTCACTATAACACGTCACATGAGCAGTGAAACATTCCGTTTCCAACGGGCATATTGTAAACACTGGACTGGACTTTGGACTGGACTTTGGACTTTGAACTATGGACTTTGGACTTTCGATTTTGAAATTATATTATTTTTTAGATTTTCGTATAATTATATTAAAATCTAAACAGAGAACGAACATTTGCTGCTGAAAAGCGTGCTATACTGCATGCACATGCATGATATAATAATATACAAGGTAAAAAATCTCTAGTATCAGTTATATAGGTATACCAGCAGTGCAATTTCATACGGATATAGCTTGTAGGACAGCAGGATTTATCCAATATTTTGGGATTTAATATTTAAATTTTATATAATATTTGTATTTATAGTATGCATAGTACAGTGTATACTGCAGAACTTCTTCTTTATCATATAGATAATAGATTAATTGTCAGAAACAATTGTGACAAAAGTGTCTCGGCAAATACAAAATATTAACTATACAAGTGATTATTATCGCGCCTACTGAGTATTGAGTATTGTGACTGTTCATCTTTGCATATTAAAATAGTTTATACTAGTACTGTATTGTGTAATTGTTTACTCCGTTACCGACAGTAACGTTTTGTTGATGTTACTTATTTTTGAAAGACATTCTAGTTAGCTATCCTTATCACTATAAGACTAAGTGCTCCAGTTATTATTAATAATTAAGTGTTAGTAGATGGACAGGTATATTCGACTAACGGAAATTTACACACTTTTTAAGACCTACTCAGTTGTGTGTGAGAAGGCAAAAATCTATGTCTATGTGCTTCAGGTATTCTAGCAAATATTTGCCACGTTTACTCAGTAATACTACCACTTGCAAGTGATGAACCAGGCGGGAATCGCAATCGTAGTATAAAGATTAATGCTCAGCCGCATAACGTACGCAAAAGAGCCATATATAGACAATAATAAATATATACATAAAGTAATACTAATTACTATAGATTATCATAAAGTAATCAGTACTACCAATTATATAATAATGTATCATACATTCGTATTTTATAAAGTATGATGACTATGAGAGTTTTCGTGTTCACTATGGCTGAATACACTTATGAAAAGCTAAAACTGACACAGACAAAATACATTGTAAACACAGCCTATTTAGGCAGGCGCTAAACCGGTGTAAACTATTATGCAAAGATGAACAATACCGTCATTAGTATTTTTGCGCAAGTGAATAAATAGTACAACAAATCCTACAAGTTGTCAAGTTGATTGGTCAAATTTGACAAATTCCCTAGCCTCCTTCGCAGACATCAGAGAAAACATACACAACTGGCAGCTGCGACGGAGACTACAAATTCCCGGATAATCACGGCCTCGCCTTCGGCGAATAATTGTTCAAAGCCAAAGGCGCAATAATAATCGCGTGTAGTTTATACTTGTACGTGATAGTTTCTCAATATTTTGTATTTGCCAAGCTACTTTTGTCGCAATTGTTTCTATAAATCTATTATATATACGATAAAGAAGTTCTGCAGTATAAACTGTACTATACATACTATAAATACAAATATTATAATAAAATTATTAACTTAAATATTAACTTAAAAATATTACTGAGATGATCCTGTTATCCCACAGGCTATATCTATGAAATTGCACTGGTATACCTATATAACTGCATGCCATGACAGTATTTTTTACCTTGAATATTGTATCATGCACAAATTTTCGTTCTCTGTTTAGATTTTAATTAATATAATTATACGAATATTTTAAAAATATAATTTCAAAATCGAAAGTCCAAAGTCCAAAGTCCAAAGTCCATAGTCCAAAGTCCATAGTCCAGTCCAGTGTTTACAATATGCCGTTTCCAACGGTAAACGCCACGTTTCAAATGTAAACAAACGCGCGAAAATGTTTGCGGTTTGAGCTTGGACGAAAATTGCTGTAAAATACAGAAAATATAGCCTTGCGAAGTTTGCATATTTTCAGTACGTTTGTATTACTGTACGTGCGGAAATTGTTACCATTTTTGAGCCGAAAATGGTAACAATTTCCGCACGTAATACAAATATACTGAAAATATGCAAACTTCGCAAGGCTATATTTTCTGTATTTTACAACATTTCGCAACTAAAATTTGCAATTTTACTAATTTGATTATGTTTTTTTAACTGTTATGTTTGATTCCCTTCTCTTTACTTAGATTAAAATTTAGTCTAACATGCAAGTTGTCCATTAGGCAATATAGCCTGTTGGGAAATCCGCTACGAGTGCATGATTGAGAAACTCAATAAACAAATTAATTAGGGGAAAATGTCGAAGTTCCCTATTAATGAAATTAATGTGAACAAGTGGTAGCTGAATTAAGTCGACTAATTTAAGGAAGACATCAAAAGTCGAGTCCGAGTCGAGTTATTATGGGTTCGCTCACTCAAGTCGAGTCATTTTTCGTATTGGACTCGAGTCTAGTATACCTGAAAATAGGAGTCTGAGTTAATGACTCGACTTTTCTCGAAGACAATTTAAAGGTAAATGGCGACATATTTTTTATTTTCTCATTTGAAAGAACTTTTAAGACCATATACAATACTCTTTTACCGTTGTTTTATATCTTGCTTACTTCTACAAATATTTTGATCGAAAGGAATTAAATGTCCGCCATCTTCATTTTTTGTAGACATGTCACGTCACAACACTCAAAACCTTTAATTAAAACATCAACCAATCAATTTTTGGTCAGTAACGAATACTAATCCCTGTTGTAACGTCACCAAAACTATCGTTAATGAGATCAAAAATGTATCCAAGATGGCGGACATCTCATTACTTCAAGTGAAAATATTTCAAGAACTAAGCAAAAAAGAAGTTAATACTTAATATATAGTTTCAAAAGTTCTTTCAAATGAGAAAATAAATTTATATTGCCATCTCCCTATAAAGAGGAAATAATGAAGTATTACAACAATTTTCATTATAAGCAGAATTGCTACGGATCAATTAAGTTCAGGACGCAATCTAGTGCACAATAAATTTCAAGACTCTAATTATACAGTGTTAATGACACACTTTAACTATCTTTAGTTAAGGTTGTCATTGATGTTTATTGTAAAGATTTTGCGCATATCCTACTCGATAGAAGTAAGTGTTGAAAGGTTCGAGGCCCATGCAAAGGCCTATTTATAGAGTAGTTGCATTTTTTGCAGCTGTTCCTGATTAGGTCCAATAAATTATAAGATCTACAGAAACCCTCGAACAATGATGTTAATTGTTTTAACCCGAGTATCTTCATACATGGCGAATACTGTCGAATCTACTCCATTCGTACTAATGGATATATTCGTATAAATTGATAACTGTGTTTGTTACATGCAGGAAGCAAGAAATAATCCGTAACAAACACGTCATCAAAACGTGATGTTGAAACCTGACCTGCCCTTTATACAAAGTCATTAATTCTACTTTAAAACGTTTAAAAGTTACTTAGAGTAAGAAAAATATATAAAAGATCTTAAGAATATAAATTCATATATATATGAAAATACACAATTTACTGATCACAATAATAATTCAAAGCGATCGATACCCTTGTATGATTCCAAGAAATAGTTTTTGAGGGCAGCCTTATAGGGATTAACATTAGATTTTGTCTTAATATCCTTCGGAAGATTATTCCATATTTCAATGTTGCTGACTGTTACAGATTTTCCTCCATCAGTTGCATAACTGTATGTAGGACACGCTAAATTATATTCGCCATGACGAGTTTGTCTACCATTTATTTCATTATTTGTTTTAAACAAGTTCTTAATATACTGAGGAGCTTGACCATGCAGGCTCTTGTAAACTAGAGTATACATTTGTTAATTTTAACTTCGTCTTAAAAAGGTATCCAGTCCAGTTTATTAAAATTGGCGAATGACCTGGAGGAAGTGTCAGTTCCTAAAATTACACGAGCTGCTCTTTTTTGTAATTTAAAAATTCTAAGCAGATTGTTTCGCGAGCAGCAACTCCAAATAGAATTATTAATACCGTACATCATAATTGGCTTGACGACAGCGTTGTAAATAGCTTTCTCTCAAATAGTGGTAAATATCTTCGTATTTCCCTCAGGAGGCCGACTTTTTTACCAAGGTTTTTACTAAGTTTGCTTATATGCTCTCTGAAAGTTAAACGCCAAGTAATTTCTGTGAAGAAACCACTTCAATATTTGAATCACTTGCAGCAAGAGGTATAGGGAAGATAACTGTATTCGAGATTTAAGGCATTTACCAGTAATAAGAATTAATTTGGTATTGTCAGCATTAGGTACCATTCGATTTAGGTCTGACCACTGACATAGTTTGTTTATATCGTGTTGAAGGTTAACTTCTAATTCAATCGACGCGACAGAGAAGTGGGAACTGGAAGAGAAAGTATATACTTAGTGTCATCTGCGTTTTCATCAACAGTTGAATCAGGTATATTTGGAGGTAGATCATTTATAAAAGCAAGAAAGAGAAGAGGGCCAAGAATGATACCTTGAGGAACACCATGGGTTATATATAACGGAGATGATTTGAAGCCGTTGATTTCTACAAACTGTGTCCTGTCCGAGAGGTAATTTTGGAAAACCTTGAGATAGGTATCATCCACTCCATAAGCGCTCAACTTTTGCAATAAAAGATGGTGGTCAGTCAAGTCAAACGCCTTGCTGTAGTCTACGAAAACAACGCCAGTAACGTGGTTCTTATCTAGGTCAAGAACGATTTGGTCTAGTAAGCGAATTAGAGCAGTTTCAGTCGAGTGGCGTCTGCGAAAGACAGAATGCAGGCCGTAGGAAATTGTTATTGGATAAGTGTGAAAATAGTTCTTGATATAGAGATGTCTTTTGTACAGTTTTGAGAGGATCGGAAGAACAGATATTGGTCTGTAATTTGTTTGTGTTCTACGCTTCCTTGATTCTTAAAAATGGGGATGACTTTGGCTAGGTGTTGGCTATGCAATGGTTTATGAAACGTGCGAATGAGCTTGATATGGATGAAGCAGAAATTTTCATTAGGACTCAATGCATCAGCACCTGTTGCTTTATTATTTGCTGGCACAGGATTTAGCAGTTGAAGTACCTTTTCTGGAAAAATATGTGGAATTTCAAACTTTATCTTTAGAGAGTTTAGCAGAGATTCGTTACAAAAAGTAGACTAAGAGACGTTGTGGTTGACTAACGAAGAACGAGCTAAAGATTTCGGAAATGCTTCTGCTTACAGTTAGTTATCCGTTTTCGTTTAATTGACGAACACCGCGTTGTTTTCTCCCAATTTATGATGCTCTCGATAGATCTTTAATCAACGACCATAGTTTATTTGGGTTATCTTGATGTTCATTTACTTTTAATTGAAACTACTTTTTCTTTTTATTATTTAGCATGACAAATTACTGGATGCTGATTGGTTGAGAGGAGTACAATTATTTCATTAATTTTACTGCAGTATACAATTAATGATTTTCCCAAAACAAACAAAATGGCGGAAAGGTATTTAACACAATTTCACAAATGAAATTGCACTAGAGGAACTTAAAGCATAAGAACGAATTAAAATGAAAATACGAACAAAAGCACCAAATTTTGGTTGAAAGTCTGGCAGGACTGGGCTTTGGCGAGAAAATATGATGTTGACATTGAGAATTATCCAATTTTGTCATGCTTATAATAAACAAGTATATTATAACAATAATAATAATAACTCGTGATTTGCTTGTGATGTTACTCTGAGTGCATATCCACACCGGGCAAGCTTGAAAAATATGCCTGACCACGGTGAATATCAATAACTCGTGATGTTTGGAAGGTTTGCCAAATTGGACTCGCCCCGGCGGCTCGTCCAATTTTGGCAAAATTCCCAAACATCACTCGTACTATTAATCCTTAATTGTACTCGCCATCGCATGATTACGTATTAACTAAGTTACTCTGTTTTTTGGCCAGTTTGAAAATTGACCATTCGTTTGCGTTGTTGGAAGCACGTGCCTAGGAAATTTGCCAGCGAGTTTGACGTATATTTGGGTGATGCTGCTTCATCGGTGGTGCATGCAAATGTTTTCATGAAGCTCACTTCAGCTGGACAACATTATTACACAACCTAAGGACGAATGGGGAGTCATATTTCCTAAGAAATTTGCCCCCTCCCCCGGGTCAATTTGAACTGCGTAATATTTAAAAAGCAGCCATCTTTTTTCCAAGATAAACACTAAAATATACGGTAAAATCTCGCTATATCTCGAACTCCCTTTAAACATAATTTTCCGTAGATTTGCCTGATAGTAATATACTATTTTAATCATTTTTACTTGGTTATCTCAAACTATAGGTTATAAACCCCAACTCCCAACGAATTCGCATTAATTTCGCTTCCCTTGACCTTGACCGAAATTTTACACCAACTCTAATGACTTTTATTAGGGAATACATTATGAGCATGTATTTGATTCTGCAGTGTGATCATGCACAGACAGTACTAAGAAATACAGAGTTTTCAGTGTAAAGCATGTTTCAGTGCAAATGTTTCCTTGACCTTGCCTGCACTGTGTAAACAACCATGAATATTCTGTGTGTAATTCAGCTAATCCACCAATAATTTGGCTAAAGTTCTAGCCTGGACCCTCCGATGGCAAAGCTGTTGTAGGGTGCCTCTTTGAAAGTTTTCTGACCACAATTTACAGTACTATAGCTGGTCCCAGTGGTATACCGTAGGCTGTAATAGCATTGTGGTGTGGACAAAAACCAATATCCTATCATGATACCAACATACTGTATGTTGTGCAACTTTATGCAAATTAGCAATGGACTACAAAGTGTATGTTTGTTGGGTCCAATTTAAAAAATTAAAAAACACAAAACTTATTGATATGTATCAAATTAAATACCACAACAGCCCATTGCAGTCTTTCTAGCTAGTTTATTTGCCATGTGATTTCATTGTCTTGTATGTCAGTTGGTTTATACTAAAATGGACGATCCTTCAGTAAGGCTGATGCAATATGTCAATATTTTCGATAAATATTGATATCTCAGAAATATCAATATTCGACTCATATTGCATATTTTGCATATCAAAAATATAAAAGTTTTAACTAGTAAAGATAACTTAATCTCCTTTTTTCAGCAACTATTGTCTGGTAAAGTTTAGGAAACATATGTAGGACGGCAATTGTGAACAAGTAGCAAGTGCAAGGGCAATGTAAAAGTGTAAACAGAATAAGTGTGATGACAGAAGATCACATACAAGAAAGATCACACAAGATGGCATCTGCACTACTTTGAATAATAATCTTCACGGTGCATATCAGCGCAGGTTGTTAAGGGTTTGAAAACAAAGCATCAAAATCTCACAGATCATTCTTGCAAAGGAAAATCTCTAGTAGACAATATGTCAAATCAACAAAGTCCTGTTTGAAATTACTACTTTAAGAGAAGTGATGAAATTGGTGATCCTATGTTTCATGCAATTTGTTTGTGATGCAGTATATATGCAAGTTGACTAAACTATGTTTTCTAATTTACATTATTCAATATAGTCGATATTATTGGATTTTTTTATAGTCCGATATCAGTCTATCCTTCAGATCGATGAACAAGATATAATAACTACAGTGAAATACACAATTTGATTGGCCAATAGCCATGCACGATCAGGCTATCCTGCACAAGGAATTAAAATGCCTTTGCAGGATTTTCACGGGATTCTCAAAATGTCATTTTTTCACTGTAGTTATTTTATAAAACAATTACCAAATGGTTTTCCAAGCAGAATAGCGTCATCCATGCACTTGGGATGTTGGTCGACTTTCGGAAAGCATAAAAATACACTTGCCTGCGGCTCGAGTACTTTTACACTTTCCGAAAATCTCGCGACATCCCTGGTGCATGGATCACGCAATCCTGCACGGAAAACCATCCGGTATTCCTTTAATATGCACATAGTTTGATAGTGTTGTGAATGTTTATAGACCACTTAAGTTCACCGATAGCATGCATTAGTAGGGAACAAACCAAATGCTTCAGGAAAATAAAGGCCATCGCAAGGGTGGGGTACTTACCCTGGAATTTGGTCGGCATTTGACATTTTTAATATAAAAATGTCAAATCCACTCCCTCGACACTTGGGATTAACAATGATACGTACATCATACCCAAATACTCTTGTAACCAATGTATAAAATTCATCTAAATTATGGATATCTCTTAACAGGTCATAATAATAAAATACAACATGAATACAACCCCCAACAATACAAATGAAGAAGAACACGGTACAGTATACAGCAGGCAGGTCAATAACCAATAACAAACGTCTAAATGGTCACCCTGGTGATTAATTGAACAGAATATTCAACAGAATCTCCGTAAACAAACAAACATAAGCCTGCGTACAAGCTGCCATGTATACATAAAACCACCATACAGCGTCAAAATGTTACATATTAACCTGCCCTGTGTAGCAATTTGGCTAGGCCTTGAAAAAAACATGGCGTTCGAAATTCGTGATTGTAGCTTTTTTATGGACATCATATTTGCAAATTTTTAATACAACGACGGAAACTGGAAGGAAATCTAACCAACGTACCTCTAAAAACATCGACGGGGGATGTCTGATACCCTTGAAATTGCGATCCAGTTTTTCTAAATTTTCGCTTGTGAGCCGTATGACTTGCTGCACCGTCCGGACCTTGGCGTAAAAACACATAAGGCATAATTTTTCTGTAAACAATCTTGCAAACATCACCCAGAAGGTCATAATTGGCAATGCCAAGTGCCTTGTAGAACTTTCACCTACGTGACTTTAAGCAAAGTTCTGAAGGGGAAATTACAAGTACGATAAAGGCGAGATAAATAAGTGCACGTCCTCTTACCTGAGACGAAACGGCATCGTCCTGCTCACCAGCAATATCGTTATTATCGTTTCGAACATCGTTCGTCTGTACGGGTGAGTTTACAAGCGACATGATCGATGAACACTCATAACAACATCATTTCATCGACATTACAAGTTTTTATGATCATTTCTGGTCATGTGACCGCATAATTTACCTTTAGGAGAGCCCGTGATTGCTTTGCACAGTAACTATACAACGCTGAGCTCAATATAAATAACAGGATTACGATCGAAGCTTTCAGCTGGAGTCAAGATTCGTAGTCTTCATAGACATAGATTCACTTTCACAGTTTCACTTTCAGATTATGTCAGGCCATAGATATGTGACATGTGTCTTACCTTATAATACAAGTATCTAATTTATTACTGTAACATAATTTGAAAGTGAATTGTGACAGGAAACCTTCGTCGGAGCGATTTCGCTCGAAACGCCGAATTTCTCCTTGTATTTTTCCGGTAGTTCAACCGAAGTTTTGTTATTTTTGGCAATACCTACACTGGCACGGACCGTGCATAAAAAAATAGCATGAATTGTTTAGCAACGTGTTCTGAGTCAACCTCACAAGGCAGGCCTTTACTCCCCCTGGCCCCACCTTATCTTTATAATTACTGTCCTGGAGTGTGTTTTTGAGGCAAGGGGCAAAGAACACGACATATACAATTCAAAAACACAGAATTGAGCGCCAAAGAACACGTCGTACAATTCAAAAACACAGATTCTGTTCACATGGAATAAAGCCGGGTTTTGAAAGTCGGTAAACTGCTACGTTTACACGCTACGATTTGTCGTGTACGCGATTCGTATTCTGGCGTATTAAAATAACTGCTGAAGCCATAATTCATTGCCGTTTCGTTAAAAAGAAATTTCAAATGTAGCCCAGCTACGCGTGTTTACTCAATGACATACGCCAGAAAACAAATCGTACACGACTAATCGCAGCGTGTAAACGTAGCTTAAATTAACAGCGTCTTTCTGGCGTTGAACATGCATGAGATGGTCGTATCCACTTTCCGGAGACACTAGCTTAAACACTTAAAGAGAAGATTGTTAACTTGTTAAGGTAAATTTCATAGCTCTACAGGGCATATGATTGGTGTAGACCCTTTCGGAAAGTACGTTACCTTGGCTACGGAGCCTCGTTTTCGCGATTGAGAGGCTTGAATGTAACTGATCTCAATAAACTTCAACAGCACCATCAGTCGAACAGTACGCATTGATTGAGAAAATAAACTGTTGTTGTTGTTGTGTAATCATCCCGGAATAAGCCGAGATTGAAAAATATGCCCGGCCACGGTGGGATTCGAACCTACGACCTTTGGAATACTAGCCCAATGCTCTTCCAACTGAGCTACGCGGTCAGGACGGTTCGAGTAAGTGATATTTCGGAACAGAATCTATTTTTCAAGCTCGCTCGGTGTGGATATGCACTCAGAGTAACACCCCAAATATCATATTCACCTGAGTACACTACACCAACACAGAAAAAATTCATAAGCCGAGATGTTAGTACAACTTTGTCGACTTTCGAACTTTGTCGATAAATTTTATCGACTTTCGAACAAACGGCAACAGCTGATAAAGTTCTATTAACATCTCGGATTATCCCGGGATGATTACGGCACAACAACAACAACAATTTATTTCCTCAATGCAGGTGCGTCGCTAGACCCATCAGAATGGAACTACCACCACACTACACCCCCTTAGCTACGCTCCTGAGTCGATTGTTTAGCCTAGAACCCTAGTTTAAACTACAATTCAAAGCAAACTTCCTAACACTTCGGAAATATCGTCTGGATAAAAAGAAGTTTTCTTCTCTGAAGTTTTGAAATGTAATGACGTGGAACTAAAGTACATAAATTGCAACAACAGGTTAAATTTTAAACGAGGGTTAGTACTAATCTCGAACTACTTGTGCCAACGTAGGTAGTGGCCGTGAAACATCAGAAAATTGAGATGGATAGCAATTCATCTACCTGAAAAATTCAAGTAAAACGTCAACGTTTCGAGTGAAGGCCCATCGTCGGGAATTGGTAGCTTGTATTTTTCAAGTGTTCACTTTCCAATTTAATTTAATTTAATTTAACGTCAAACAAACTTTCAAAGGAGCTAGTCGTGTACTGGGCCATTGTGTCTGACGATTTCCAAGAGAGGGAGGGAAGGATGAGAGGCGGCAATTTTGACTTCTTCGCGAGCATTCCTGGCTTGAGAAATCTCCGATTGAAAAAAGTTCTCCAGAAACATCGACAAGTGTTGGATGCAATGGAAAGATTAATTTCGAGCTAGCAGCAGGGGCGTAGGAACCGGGGGGCACTGGGGGAACGTGCCCCCCCCCCCCCGTCGCCAACATTTCCGGAAAAAATTTTTTAGGTGCCCTTTTCAATACCCTAAAGTGCCCCTAGAAGCCGGTTCCTACGCCCCTGGCTAACAGCCGTTCACCATGCAATTTGTTCTCGTTAAACCAATTGTGGGTACAAACTCCCCACCATCAATTAACAAGGAACTTCGGCTCTCATTCGTAAGAAATATACGATATAAAAGATTTATAGCTCGAATAAATGTGAATCACGGAAACAAAACCATCACTCAAGAGGTTAAAAATTTAATCAGACGAAAGCATCGAGAGCATCTAAATGTTTTTGACATCCTAATAAAGTATTTTAAAACTATTTTGGAGCTATAACAAAGATATGCGCTCTTTTTAACATTCTTTAACTGTTGTCAAGTATACCAATAGGATGGAAATCTGCTAACATCACGCCTGATTATGAAAAAGAACGTAGAGAATTTGCTGAGAACTAGTACCAGTATGGCCGACCAGGCTACAATGGTGGCAGGGCCGTCCCCAGGAAATTTTTCAGTGGGGTGTAAGGTCATTTTAACCGACTGACGGACGAGCTTGTACCGACCACCTGCTAGCCATGGAAGCTTGTGGAATTTCCGATGGAGGTCAACTACGAAGCCATTTTTAGATTAAGGGGGCTATAGCGAACGTCGAAGGCGTGAGTTTAACAGGGGTCCGGGGGAATGCTTCCCCGGGAAATTTTGAAATTTGAGACCCCCAGAGCCCCGGAAATGCAATCAAATTTACTAGTTGCTGTTAAAAAGTTTCTTAATAGACGACTTCTAGGCCCCAGTTACACGATACCGGATTCGCATCGGAGCGACATCAAGTTTTACTCGAGGTGAATTTGGCACTTAAAATTCTGATAATATAACATAATTAAACAAAAACTTCATATATGAAAAGTTGTAATAATACGAATCCAGTATCGTGTAACTGGGGCCTTAATCTAACATTACCGTACCCGTCATTTGTTTAAACCAACCAGAAATAGATTGAATACTTATACTAATAAGTTATAAATATATTGTTAACTGATCTGAAAGATTTCAGTATTCTTAGTTTATAAAAATTACGTATGTATGGAAATTGTTGCCCCCTCCTGCTCCGCGGTCCCTGAAGTTACGCCCGTAGCATAGAATATATAATCGACCAGAAGTCTCACTGTACACCTTTCCTTAACATTTTCGTGTCCGCGATTTTCGCCTTGCGGATCACGAATTTCGCACGCTAGATGACGTGTGTGACACTTGCTGCGAACATCACGTCAGCGTTCGTCAGCAAAACAGTTAAAACAGCAATCTTTATTACCTGGTAATGGCAATTGATGGCGTAATTGCTCGCGTTTGATGGCGTGGATTACACTTGCTGGCTCGCGCCTGCGCATAAAAAATCTCGGACATAATTTTGGCTGAGTGAGGCTTCTGGTCTTATTTTCTATTCTGTGCCCGTAGAGAGTTCAAAGAGAGCCTGTTCGCAGGCTAGCTGTGCTCCAGAGATTGTGCTCTAAATAAAGCCTGTTCTAAATCGCCATATTTGAGTTTTTGGCGGCAATATATTGTGTTCAGCGGTTTTACCTATCAAATATGCTCCATATACTTTGTATCGCGATGTCGTTTAACTGTCAATCTGGACTTGTTTTGCTAACCGATTATAATGATTATCCTGCTGAGTAAATTTCGAGTAACCAAAATTTCCGTTTCTAATATAACAGGTGAAAATCATATCGGTAGTAGTTCTATTCGTCAAAAATATTTGTGCCTGCCGACTGAAATAGCAGTCCTGCCGACTGAAGCTTGGAACAGAATTTCTGGGGGTGTCACCCCCCCCCACCCCGTAGCCCCGGCCCTGGATGGTGGCGAATTATCATGTCCGTAAAATAATGTGATGTCTTTTAGGCAGGATAATAAGATGTTTCGTTGGCTGTGCCGGTCTTTTGAAGGGTTCTCTCCGTTGCACCATTGCGGCTACCGAGCCATCACGAAGCGAGAAAATTTCCAAAACATCTGAAAAGGCAAGCAACTGAACATGTTGTAGAATTTAATTGTAGTCATATCGCTTCATGTAGCTTTGCTTCCTTTTAGACCATTTAAATTTTTTGCTTTTCCTTTAGCCGCGGCCTCGAGTTGAAGGTTCGTCTTATATCGCAACCACCAAGCAACTGCATGCCCACACGCTTCAACTTACTCCAACCTGAATAGAACAAAATCAAATCATTCAAAGCATTTCATTGTGCAGCAACAACTTATATCTGAACTTACTTTCTGACTTCTTGATCACTGTCCTTTAATACCGGCGGAATTTTCGTCATTTGAGGACGTAACTTCTCGTCCCTTTTAAGAACTCTTGACCCTTCAATCAGATCCGCTATGAATTACTGTCAGACGAACTGATTAAAAATTGTGAAATCTCAGTTTCGTTTGATTACATAAACGCACTTCAACATGGACTGACCGAATCAGTCAAATAGCAAGTTCTCTATATTTCCATATCCAATTCTTCATGAATGATTGTAAATACCCTTACAGAGAGTACAGCAACGGTTAATTCTAATTGGGGGATTGTAATCTTGCTTTGCCAATGACAAAGTGAAGCAATGTGAATATTGTCGTTTGTATCCTCTAAGCGGAGGTATGCTACAGGTGCGTGACCAGCTCGTCGTAAAGCGCATTCGAGAACAAATGCCATGCAGTTGCACCTCTTTGACCTCCCCGAAATGCAATGGTTTAAAATGACAGTGGTCTGCTTTAAGTAATTTGCAAAAATTGCAATTTTGGAATAACTTCGAGCCAGCCTTTCCATTGTGGATCAACTGAAGAAGGAATAAACGGCAGATACCGTAAGAGGGAGATTCTTCTACATATGATAAGGGTCAACTATTGAGAATCTTATCCATTTAATTGGTATAACAACTTCAGAATGACGCTCATTCGCTCACACAGCTCAAAAAGGATACGACTTTGTTTCGCGGGCATTTATTCAATATAGCGTCAAACAATCTCAGTGTAAATATAATTTCTAATGAAGAATTAGCTTAACGACAAGACTTTGCTTAACAAAAACACCATAAGTGAGAACAATGCAAAGAGAAAGTTTGAGGTGAATTTGTAACATAGAAAACTATGATTACTTTCAGTGACGAGAAACCGGACGACTTGTTGATGAAGTTTTGGTTCTGTGCACTGTGAGGTGATAAGGAAAATCCTTGTTCCAAAGATCTGTCGGGGTATACGAGAATTACCCCTCACAGCCTGGATCCAGAATTCGTATCCCCATCAGCGCTTCGCGGCGCTTCGGGGGATACGAATTCTGGCTCCAGGCTTCGAAGGATAAACCTCGTATACCCCTCAGACCTTTGGAATAAGTATTAGTATGCATTTAATATAATTTAGGGCAGATAATCTCAACTGTTTAGGGCAAAGTTGACCATGACGGTCAACATATGGTAGCGCTGGTCGAACCTCGATCGTGGGAGGGGGGGGGACCGTCCGAAACTGACCACAGCATGAGACGACGCTTTCGCCATAGTGCTATCTAGCAAACCATAAAAGCTTTGGCCATTCTGAGGTGCTTATATGGTTCAGAGATCACACTAAACACAGGCAGTTGAGGAGAGTAAATGCCTTGTATGGATATGAGTTCAGTGTGGTACAGCCGGTAGTGGCTAGCGCACTTGCCTTTCACCTCTAAGGCCGCAGGTTCCAGCCTCGGTGAGAACGATGCGACTCGAACCCAGTCCTCATGTGAAAAGAGCAACAGTCAACGCTCTGCCGAAAGTCGTGGGTTTTCTCCGGGTACTGCAGTTTCCTCCCACAGGGAAAGTTGACAGGGTGGGTTAGATAAAAAGGCGCACAGTAATTGGCATATGCTGTTGTGGCGACACTGCCCTAGTTGGCAAAGCTAGATAAATGAAAATAAATAAATAAATAATGAGTTGCATCTGTATGCATCTGACAGAATTGGGAACTTTGCTGAATATGGCAAGTTTGCGTTAGATAATCTTGCTTTGGGATTGAAATTCAATACAATACAATCGGGAAACTCCGATCGAAGAAATTCGTATTTTTAATTCAACCTTTCGACTACTGTTGAGTCATCATCAGGAATTATGAAAGCTGCCAAAAATTTTACAAGTTATACAAAATTTTTAGTAGCTTTCATAATTCCTGATGATGACTCAACAGTAGTCGAAAGGTTGAATTAAAAATATGAATTTCTTCGGAGTTTCTATTGTATTGTATTTTATTAGAATACTCAGTGGTTACCGTAAACTAAATTCAGCTTTTTTAGAAATTTCAATGAACAGGATTTATCTCAGTTTTTATCCTGGACGTCAAAAGTGCGCATACTCGTGTCGAATCGTGTCGTGTTTCCATATATTACGCAACTCTGACTGGTATTCATAATTTATGCGTGTTTGTTTTCGTGACGTCACTGAACTTGGCATCGCTGGCTATATCCAATATGGCGGAGCGTAGGAAACGTCAATTAAGCGAAGTATTAAGTGCATTGTTCCTCGAAGAAGATATTTAATGAAATAGTATGCAGCCACCGCCACAGAGGAAGGTATATTCTATTCAGGCTTAAAAGAATGGGGCTAGGAAATTTTCCGTTGCTTACGAAAGCGTCTTGTTTTGTTCCACTGCAGGGTAAATTGGTCCAACTTCTACGCAATGTACAAACAGAGCAATTCTCGAAATTGCAACAGCGATACCAATTACAGACCGATTTACTCGAAGACGTCAGGTACATGTTCTCAAGGTTTTTATCACGGCAACACGGGCCGTTTAGAGGCGCGTTAACTAACCATCGTACCGTTTTAGATCTTACATGAAACAGAAGTCTGGCATCGAACGTGACTATGCTCAGGTGAGTTCGTAGAGTATGCCCTATACAATTCTACCATCCGATAAAACTCAAGTGTTTATGTCGTGTGATTAGTTTTTAATTAGGGCACTACACCACAGCTGATGCTCGTATTGTTTACAATAAATTCAGTATGGCGTTTGTGTGGAGTTGTATACACAAAATCCTTTTGTATTTGTTTAAATTCGCGATAGTCTGTCAGCTTTCTGTTTTGAAATTTCTACTCGGCTTGACTTTGTGGTTCGTGCTACCTGCATGTTTTTGTGAGATTATCTTCTCACACTAGTTTGGGAATGGCTTTAATACGAAATTTGTTCAAATAAAACGCCCCGATCGAAGGAAGTTATCGACAGGCAATGATGCATTGATTGTATTCTTGAATCTTGTTGAAAACAAAGAAACTGTAATGAAAAAATTACCATTTTAAAATTGAGACAATCTCGACGTGGAAAAAAATCGGTTTGTTGTGGCAATTCTTGAGATCGAAAAAAAATAATTTGTTGTGATTTGGATAGCATATTTGCCTTAAAGTTTGAAAGTTATTGATAATTTAATGGGGATATTTTGATATGTATATATATTTATATATCCTTGTTGACATAATTGAATTCAAAATAGTTTACAAATCCTTCGTGAACTTTATTGTGTATATAGTATGTGTAGCATTATGGGACAATGACAGTTTGTACTAGCTGCCAATTCTTTCATGCAGTTTGATTAATATAGGGCTTGCCAATTCTTAAATCTTAACTGTTGAATGTTTTTGATTTCAACAACTTATCATCTAGCAAAAGAATTTTCAAATATCAGATATAATGTTATTATCCTATATGTACTTGAGGTGCATGATTTTAAATATTAAAATAGCTCACTTCTCATTGTGTCAGAGGGGATTTATTATTTGTCCAGTCGAAACCTCTCTTTGCAACTTACACTTCTTGTAAGCAGATTAAACTCTCAAATTAAATCAGACAGTATTTCTTGAGTCCTTGTGAACTGCTATATTATGACCTCTCTTAAGCATATCAGACGCCATATATTAACCCGGTAACAAAAATGTAATCCAGTTGCAGACAGAGGAAGAAATTTTCAACAAATATGCCAAAGGGGTTCCGGTGTCCATTTGAGGCTCTGAGATATGATGTTGGTAACCTGATTAAATGAATAAAAAGTTCTGAGCACTAGTTGTGCCATTTGGCTGACATTAGATATGTTTTCTAAGATAATCAATCATGTTGATTTAGCATTGTTGTTTAATGTACAGTTATAACTATTGATTTTGATTATCAGTATAGAGCTCTAAGGAATGCAACACAGAACAAAACAGATTGCATAAAATGCATGTTGTGGCATATGACAGGATCGTACATTGTTTGGTATATTGCTAACTTTAGCTTAAGTTTTATTTAATAGTCATATTGACAATGTTATATGGGTGCATGTGATTGCATGTTTGCCACTTTATTGCTCTTAATTTGAACAATGCTTGTGAATTGTGATATTTGGTACCAGATTATACATGCATGGTGTCTTTCCAGGTTGTATGTCTTTCAAAATTATTAGGGGGTGCCCCCCTGCCCTACCCTAGTTTCCACCACTGATGCAGACACCAAAATAAAAATCTGAAGTATAATTTTAGCCTCTTCTGTAAGTCCATTTTCATTAACCCATTAAGCGCCAGCACTCTCCCCTTGACGAGTAAAATCGTCTGGCGTTAGACAGAGTAAAATAATAAAGTAGGGCGCATTAGGGCGCAATGTGACTCAATGGGTTAAATAGACGCATGGGCAGATAGGCCAGTTAACCCATTAAGCGCCAGCACTCTCCCCTTGACGAGTAAAATTGTCTGGTGTTAGACAGAGTAAAATAATAAAGTACGGTGCATCAGGGCGCAATGTGACTAAATGGGTTAATTACTTTCTTTAAAGTGGAAGTCAAGTCTGTTCTGCGCATCGGTTCTGCTCATAACAATGTGAGGACCTAGCTAGCTCTAATGTGGAACATTGCCCAAATTTCGAATGTTTCGAATTTTTCTGAACATAAACTCTATTTCATATTCATTTTGAAGCATAAGCGAACCAAAATGCAACCAAAATGGTGTTAGATATTCAGAGAGTACATCATATTTTAAAAAATACAGCAGTTCAGAATGTAAACAAACCGTTCTGTTTACATTACGCACTTGACTTCCACTTTAAAGTAGTCTATTGATATAGACGCTGTGTTGAAATACCTTGGGTGAATTAAGATTTAAGAACATTTGTTTCATGTTGAATGTTGATTATAAGGACTAATCTAATGAAGGAAGGCAAACATTTATCATTATTTCGGTGACAAATGTTTAGTCTACAATTAAATAGTAATGACCTCTCATTGTAGTCTGATATTGATTATGACAGTTTTGAGTAGAAATAAGAAATATCACAAACTTATTTGGTTTTCTGGTTAATTCAGTCAAAATTTTGGACTAAAACAGTTCTAATTACTCTGAGTGTATATCCACACCGGGCAGGCCTGAAAAATATGACTGGCCACAGTGGGAATTGAACCTATGAGTACAACCAACTAGCCCAATGCTCTGCCAACTGAGCTACGCGGTCAAGTTGGTTCGAGTACGGTATGTGATACTTCGGAACTGAGTCTAGTTCCTTTGATATCAATGTAATCTAATAATCATGATATTTGCTGTGTTGGTGTAATGTACTCAGGTGAATATGATGCTAAGCAGCTTGTGAATAAGATGTTGTAGGTTCAATTCCCACCGTGGCCAGGCATATTTTTCAGGCCTGCCCGGTGTGGATATACACTCAGAGTAACATCACAAGCATCTTATTCACCTGAGTACATTACACCAACACAGCAAATATCAGTTCTAATTAATTTCGAGTTTGGTGATACCGCTGCAGGTGCTGGTATTGATCTGTCAATTTCACCTGAGTTTACATGGAGAGAATGTCCTCATTTTTTAATCTCATCTTCTAATGGGATGGCCCAAGATCTTTCTTAATTTCTGTTGCCTGGGATTTCCGTTTCCCATGTAGAACCGAATTACATCTACATGGTGCTAGCCTTGGCATTCCATTTTTTTTCCATATGCCTCCTAATTTCATTCATATAAAGCACTTGAAGAATTGAAGTGTATTGCCCCTGTGCTTGTGGTGTGTTAAATTGCAGTATTTTAGTTGGTTCGATTCCTGCTAGGGACTTATACAGTAGCTGTTCGTGCATGGTTAGGTCTAATAAATGTGTGTTGTGCATTCTATAAATTAAAAATAAAATAATAAAATCTTAGAAGAATTGACCACCAATTATAGCGTTCCAATTCATGCAATGATTAGGGATCATAACATTTTAGTCATAATAAGATTGGAGACATTGAGTATAGTTAAATATTAATCACCTGAGAATTCATCGTGATAATAGCGCGATATAAAATATGACCACTTATAGTATAATCAATTTATAAATATGTATAAGTTGAATAAGTTTTAATTACTCCAAAAAACTGCACATGGATCCCTATATAGGGATTCAACTACCTGAAAAATACAAGTAAAGCTTCGTCTTCAGAGTAATCGTCTTCGATATTTCCAGCGTTATCCCATACCTGTGCTAACAGCGGCTCATGGCTGTAGAAAGTAGGAAGTTATGGAGCGACGCTACCTCCAAGCTCTAAAGGGCTAACTCCAAACCAAAAAATACACTTGAGTAACTTGTGTAATTCAAGACTGAGTTGAAATATGAATTCTGGAGTTACTGAAAAACTCCAAAAATGATTTGGAGCTAAGTATACAACTGCAAAAATAATTTAGGAGCTAGGTATCTAAGCCTGGAGTTACTGGCTAACTCCAATAATCATTTGGAGCTACGTATAACTCCAAAAATCATGAAAAAACAAGGTATCTAAGCCTTGAGTTACTGCCTAACTCCAAAAAGTATGTGTATAGCGAGGCGAGTCAGCCTATAGCCGCTAGGAACATACATGTAAGGTTGAAGTTACTTGCTGTGTTGCTAACTCCAAAAATCATTTGGAGCTTGTTATCTAAGCCAGGAGTTACTGACTAACTGGAATAACTGCAAGAACTCTCAGAATGCACTTCTATATTCCACTGTATTAAATAAGACTGAAATATCCACAATATGCGCATAAACATGACATTGACACACTTGGCATTTTGTTCTCGTTCAGAGGCTAAATTTTGATCTGCATTTGAGGCAAAGTGGCAAACCCATTCTCGTACACCGCGTCCTTGTCATGCTCTGTTGATCGTGTGTAAGGCGGGCTCTGGGTACGAGAATGTGGCATAGTCTAGCTCCATTAAAGATTGGCTACCTCCACAAAAATAAAATCTACAGGTATGCAGCGGCTTTCTGATTGTTTCCGAGCAGGTGAGTTTTTGCCTTTCGCCGAACTCGCTCACGATAAAGCTGCTTACGTTGCCAAAAAATGTAAATGGCGGACAAAAACCCCTCAACTTTAAAGATCTTTTTGGGTAACTAACCTGCTAGAAAAGCCAAAGAAGGCAATTTGGATGTAGATAAAGAAATACTAAGAGCCCAATAATTTTTTGGCCGAGAAAATGTTGACAATATCTCGACGAATATATCACAAAGTCAAAGAGCGGGCGTCCCAAAACAACTAAAAAGTTTCGCAGATAAAAACCGAAAGTACGTGCAGGTTCGGTGCGTCCGTGGTTGACGCCATTTTTACAAAAAAAAACTCCGGCCATTTTTGTCACTCCTAAAAACTCCTAAATCTTTGTTTTTTGTATTATTTCTGCTGGAAATTGCTGTATCTTATTGGCTATCTTTGTTATTGTTTCATATTTTAAGCCAATCAGAAAGCCATGAAATTTGCACTGCTCTAATCCAATCAGAATTGACAAAATGTTTTCTTGTATATCATTAATTAACGGGAAAACAGACGGAAATTCAGTACGGCACGTGTTTTGTTTCCATTCGCATTACTCTCTCAAGACTACATGCCTGTAGGTTTCTTTTGAAAGCTTGTTTATCTTAAAATGTCATCTTTGATATGACCGAATCAAATCAAAGTTTTGCCTGGGTAACAACATGAAAAAGTACCGAAACTTCTTTAGTAATTAAACCAAGATGATATATTTTTGTCATTCTCCAAAAACGTCTTTTTTTTCGTGTACGTCAGTCCGGTCATGCATATACAGTATACGTCTCCTCAGTGGTTGTAATTGGTGATACAATCTTAAAAACAGTGGTATCAAGTATACGTAACGAAGTAAATGTTCTTCGTTACTGTCCTTGAGTTCAGTACTATTTTTGAGAAGTCAACATATAACAAAGTAAACTTTTTCTGGAGTGCTTTTACTTGGAACGAAGTCGTCTTAAGAAGTAACGTTTTACTTCGTTATTTTCATTTTGTGGCGAAGTATTTCGTTACTTTCTCACATTTGTTTAATTTTACGTGATTTATTCCTGATTTATTGTAATTTTGGGATAGGTGATAGGATCTCTACATGCGACTGGGATCTCTCGTTTGTGGCTTACTTATAAGCATTTATTTAATGGATTTCTTATATCTTCAACGTGGTCTGGAAAATAGACCATGCCATGAAATATTGTATATAATAGGTGCACGCATATAATACGTGTGCTGTTTTGTGTCTTTTTTATGTCAATCCATTGGAGAAGTCCCCCCCCCCTCCCCCCCTCTCCCCCCTACACGCTGCAGACAATTGTACTTTTACTTTTTACTTCAAGTATTTTTAAGGATACTTTGTACTTTTTACTTAATATTTACGTTTTGCCTCCAGTGCTTCTTACTCTTACTCCAGTCGTTTTATTGTTATTACTTCTACTTTTACTTGAGTACAAATTCAAAGTAATTTATAGGCACCACTGTGTAAAAATTATATTTGACTATAGTTATAATTGTTGATATTTTGCCTCAAAATAATTTAATTTAAATGCCAGTAAGCGTATGAATCGATCAATTTAATAGTTAAGTACATAATCAATTTAATAGTTAAGTACATTGATAATTAAGAAATTAGTTAATGAATTAATGCAATAAAAATTGCAAATTAAAGTTAAATGTTAAAGTTCTCTTTTTTTCTGTTAAAGGCATTACAGAAGCTCAATGCTCAATACACACAAAAACGCGATTATTCCGTTGAAGATGAATCGGATCAAAACTTAAGGTATAGATTTTCATTTCATTGGCTAATATTTAAGGGAAAACACTACCTCAAGTGTTTCTATAACTGTACATATAGAAACAGAGGGGAAATGTTTTTTGTATTTCTTTTATAATATATAGAACTGAAGAAAAGTTTTTATAGCCATTTTTCAATCGATTAACTTACAAATTCTGATTACTTCAGTACAACTGTCCATTCGATCTAAAATAGTTTCAATTCTCTAATAGAATTCAATAATATAATTTTCTTTTTAAATTGAGAATACCCTTTTGTCAAAACTACTATTATAGCACATTCTTTTCGCTTACAGGCGCATGTTAAAATTGTTTTGTTTACGTTTTAAAAATCAAAGCTGCATGCAAGATGGGAAATTTCTCGTGTTTCCATATATAGTTAGAAACCACACTTTTAGATTAATCAAAGCTCGCGCATATAAATGTTATATTATTAAATCATTTTGTAATGTGAATTTGTTTGTGAAGTACGTCTTATCCAAGTGACCTATTCCTTAAACGCAACGAGATTCACGATTTAAACACAAGGAATTTAAGGAAGTTCTAAATATCCACCGCATACAAACGATTTGGAATAGCATAGACAACGACTTGAAAAAATTACCCTTAAAAACATTCAAAACTGAGTTGAAGAAGAAAATGTTTGGACACAATTAACGTTATTGTAAAGATTAAATATTTTATATAGAACTTTTATATAGAACTTTTAATATTTTAAATGCAAATAAGTATTGAAAAACCCGGATAGGGAATACTGTATTTTATAATAGTAATAATAATAGTTTCCATATTTAGCTGTAACCTACTGGCCAATCAGAGGACACGTAGTGACTACTATATATAACTTATGTTTATTATTTAGGGGCGTTTACCACACGTAAACAAGACGATAACTCACGTCATTGCTTCATTGACGTATTTTTAACATTTGCTAATTTTACATCGACCATTCGAATTAAGGTCGCCTTTGAAGGTTTGGAAAAGTTATCTAGACCAAATGGAAGATATGGCAAAACGAAGAATTACGGTTGCTGAAAAAGCTCAAACAGACGTTGCTGATAAAATAAAAACTGTTAAATCAAATAAAATGACCACTTTTAAAAAGGTAAAAACTATGAATAGCTCGATGAATTTGCTGGGATAATTATATCAAATAAATTTGGCATTTTGTTGATTTAAGATAATAGTTTTTCATATTTGGTTTTTCATTCTTTAGTCCCAAGATCTCTTTCAGAGAATATATGAAGAATTAAATTTATCACTTAGAGAAATGTCAAAAGTAAGAATGCCACTGTCGTTTTGGGAAGAAACTTAAAGTGTCGTTTGTCCAATTTGATGTAGAAAGTTTCAATTGTTTTCTTCAATTCGTTACTGTAGTGTAGGAAAGCTTATATGGAATTACAGAAGCTGGCCGAGATAGCGGAAAAAGAGACCGGAGAAGCACAAGACAAGTATGTATCAAGTATTTTGTTGTTGTCGCACTACGCATAACTTGCAGTACGCAGCTCGCAGTACGCATAACGTACGCATGACTGATTGTACATCAGTACTTATAGTATCTGCAGGAAATATTAAATGTTTTTATGAAAAAATTTAAATGTTTAAACATGAAATTTTAGATTAAAGAAAGGTGAAACGTTCTTTAAATCAAAAGCGACTTTAGAAAAGAATTTTTCAAAGGTATGTTGGTAGTAGTTGATACTCTTGCCGTATTTATATGCAGGATTGAGTCAGAAGAAGTTTATATTTTGTTTTATTTTATACTTTATTTCTAAGTTTGAGCATTTCTGTTAGATCGCTAGTGTTCAGTTCAAACAGTACAAAAATACATAATATTATAATATATAATGCAAGAGGGAAATTGGAATATTATATATTAGGTTTAAATAGACTACCCATATTTTTTATCTTGTACTTTCAATGATTCTTGAAATGGTTTGTATATCCGGGTTATGTTCTTAATTGTTTTTGAGTTATTTTGTAAAACGATCTGGATGAACGCAAAAACAATTACTTTCAATGATGTTATATACTTTTACGACTTTATATTTTAGAGCTCCGAGCGAAGAGAGATCTGTGTACGACAAGCGAACGCGAGTCGGAATGAATACCTTCTATCACTTGCCGCTCTCAATGGACACATGAAGAGATTTCGAGAAATTGATTTAACGCAAATTCTAAAGGTTGGTATGGCCGTTTTTATCGCAGCAGATTTATATTAAAGAAATATTTGTGGGCAAAAATTGTATGCCCATATTTGGGGGGAGGGACATTCAGGTCTAAGTGATTTTTTAGCTGCACTAAACGTGCACTTTTACACGTCACGGACGTTAATAACCCCACTGAGAGCTTTTGGATTGAGAAACTTAATAGTTATGTGCCACGTGGGCTTAATTTAAGGGAAGAGGTTTAATTAATTTATGTATAGCCAATTGCTAGACTATTTAAGCAAGAGACGGAGATGATGTAGCGTTATTCTGAATTCTATATGCGTTGTTAATTAAACTCATCCTCAAATTTATTTCAACCTATTCGGTTCCGATGTAGGACCTTGATGCAGACTTTTACGAGCAGATGAAGGAATATCATACGTCAGCAAGTCTTATGGAAGTTGAAGCAGGCTTATACGGCCAAGATGGTTTTAATGCTATTGTTTCAAATGCAGGACTGGTGAGTGTATAGTACTAGCAACATTGTTAACGTCTCAATGCCACGTCTTACTTGTACATCACAACATTATATATTTCTTATCATACATATTTATGCACAGTTTTGTGAATAGGTACCGTAATTGACTTCCTGGTACTTTTAAAGTGCCACTAACCCCAAGTATGATTTTTGATATGTCTAATATTTGCATCCTTTTACCGCAAAGAAACCATAGATATCTTATATACACTAGATAGTGCATCTAATTATTCTGCAATTCAAAAATCAAAGCCGTGATTGCAGGCTCAGGATATTCCCATGAAATGAGAAGACTCGTATGTTTTCTATTTCTTAAACAGGGAACTTAAACATTAAGAAGTTAAACCTATTCCAAATACATTTTCAAATTGTTCAAATGATGAAAGTTATTGTTGTTTTTCAAGTGTTTATTAGCGAGTGGGAACTACCAACATGGCCGCCATCTATTCAAATGGTGGTAACCGCTGGAATATTCTTGGCTTCAATTTTACTAAAAGAGATGCGCTATCTAGTGTATATAAGATATCTATGTAAGAAACATGCAAAGAGGGGACCACAGTATGCCCCTTGCATTTAACCAAAATGTTGTATATCGTTTTAATTAAGCATGTTTTTATCAGCTGAAAAGTCGTTGTTTTGATGTAAGCAAAATTTGAGTTTTGGGAAAATAATGCGAAAGTCAGTAGCTGGAAGAATTCTTTATTATAAAACACCTCATATTTATCAACTATGATGGGATTGGATGAACTACAAATTAGTTTTCCTTTACTTTTATCCAAACATTACACATACCAAAAATCATCTTTGCCTTTTGGGATTAGTGACACTTTACTGTATTTACTACCAAAAAACAGCTATTCATGACATGTTATTGATTCATTCGTGGTGTTTTTATCAGAATATAGTAAACTAGGCTATGTTCTGCAGTAATTTCGATGTGCTCATTAATTTGTGTTCGCATTAATTTCGTGGCAGATTGATCGCAATGCAAGTATTACATATTTTCTTGAGAAGAATGCAATGTTCCAGAACAAAACGACGTACGCTTTTGAACCATATGGCGAAGATAAGGTATACGTTATCTATACTAAAATGTTTATATCTAGCCTACTCTACGACAGGTATACATAATTCCCTGCGAAGATATTTTTTGTTAAAAAATTTCCTGGCAGCGGTGCTGCTGGCGCTGCCGGGCATTTTTCAACGCTGCCGTGTTATGTACGTGCATATTCTGTAGGCTGGTTTACACGACAACTGTGTTGGACAAAGCATGCACGCGGCAGCTGTGCTCAAATGTTCAGGTCACTATGGGCACTTGATTACATGACAATTTTTACGAGAGATGTGGGCACATCATGCGCATCGAACCGCTCCGGGAGAAGAACCATCACTTTCTATAGTGACAATGGTAATATTTTGTTAGCTGCATGTTGAAATAAAGTTCAAATATGGAAACATTGACGGACGTTTCGGTATTTCAAATCACCATAAGCTTCTTCTCTAATAGTGCATATTACCTAAGAAATAGAAAATATTATCCATCCTTGTTTCTATGAACATGCAGTTATATATAGTTACTGTATTTTCATATCGATTAATAAATACAAATCCTCCTTACCTGAGCATAACTCCACTCGAGGTCGCCCTTTGCACGCGAATTTTAACTGAAAATTCGCTTTCTGTTCCGAGGTTCCTGAATTTCGTTGTCAAAATTAGAAATATCAGAATTTTTTCTCACAGCGCGCGCGTGTTAAAATTATTTTGTTTACGTTTTTAGAATCAAGCTTAGAGACTGGAAATTTCCCGTGTTTCAACACAATTATAGAAACACGCTTCTCGTCCAATGACCGAAGTTCTGTTACAAAAATGCGTTTAACGTTAACATTTGGTTCTACCTTGATTAGGTTTCTACCATCACAACGGACAGTACAGTTGCCCTTGCTGTTGATAAAGAGGCGAGGAAGTTGGCGACGAAATACGTGCGAGAACAAAGGTCGTTGAAGAATAAATTTTCAAAAATGAATGCGTTAGAATCAAGTCAGGTATACAGCTTCTTTACAATATATATAATATCAACATTCACACCAAATATACATGCATGCAGCAACCCCTCGCAATTTCAAACCAAAAACCGTAGCTATATTTTCCATGCGAGAATTTTTAAATTTCAACATATTCCATTCCCTAACAGACAAATGAAAAAGAAAAGAAATTAACATAAAAATCCAAATATCATGATTTTGTTCGGACTCTGTTTTACTTTATGTTGTTTTAACATGAATTGTAGACGCCAGTATTCATCGAAATACACCCTTCCGGAAAGGACTGATATAGTCTACTCAATTATAGAAATTATATTGAATTACTTTATTATAGGAAATTAACGATGCACTTTATTAACGCGGATTTTAAAAATTCGCGTTAATTTAATTAATGTTAATTTGTGTGATCGTTAATTTTAAGTATGTAATTTTCATTTATCGTTAGTTAAAAATACCTAGATTTGCTTTATATAACACTAACTCTTTTAATATCAAAATACAGCATATTAACGTAAACTAAAAACATCAGTGCTCCTCTTAACATTAAACCTTTGTTGTTGTTGTTGTGTCTATATTTTCCGATTCGCGTTAATTTTATTAATTTGTCAACCATGGAGATCAGATTCGCGTTAATATAATCATGTTTTAAAAGACCTAGAAGCAATCCGCGTTAATTTGATGTCGCGTTAATTTATGTCGCGTTAATAAAGTGCATCGTTAATTTCCTATAATAAGGTATTCGAATATAAAAAAAAAGGTAATCCGACATACCGCGACCGTAGTTTGTCGAAGCTTGAAACTGGAACCAAACAATTGGGCCTAGTTTATAAAATAAATTATATGACATATCTTTTAGACTGATGAAACGTCAGCACCGGCCGACGGACAGGAACCTCCGTTAACCGTAGAAGGTTTGCAGGAAGCGATACGAAAAGTTGAGGTTAGTTTATAGCTAATTCAAAAAAGATTCTCCTTTGAAACTCTAAACCTCAAACCTTTAACGTTAAAGTATTAGAACAAAAAGGGCAATGAGAACACTCAGTGTTTGCCGTATTCCGTCAGAAAACGTAATTGTCATAATGCTTGTGCATACAGCCAAGATTTACGATGGAGATCGTTCCCATTGCACCTTTCGCGCTTAGGTCTAAGGTTTAGAAGGACAATCTTTTTAGTGTAAAGTTTCTTCGAATTGTGATGAGTGGGGAAAATTCAAACGAATCAGTCATTCAGTCATAGTGTAAACTTTCCGGGGGGGCGTATACACTGCTACACCACAGATAGATGGCAACACTCAGTACACTGTATGATTGACTGGTGCATCAATGCCATACAGAGCGAAAAATTGCATCAGATCAATAGAGCGTAAACAACTAACAGAAGCGGGTGTTTATATCATTCTATGGCGTTTGTTATAGACCTTATTCATAAATCGTGACGAGGCCTCGTATCCTAGGATACGGGAACAAAACGCGGGAAAACAAGCGAAAACTGCTTGACAAGCCAAATTCAGATGCTATTGTGTCGACTTTCACGGCTTGTTTCTTGTTGCTTTTTGCGATTTATAACGATTTTTGTGTGTATTTTAAGACTTTGTGCCCACAACGAAAGCGGTAAACGAGTATATTATAAAAGCGACCGGTTTTTCTCGCGTTTTAGTGTGGAAAAAATGACAACGTAGCGATGGTGTTTATCCAGAAGTGGAAAACAGTATTTTACTGAGATTTTAACGTCAATATAAAGGTTATTCCGTGAAAAATCAAGACAGCTATGGAATGAAAGTATAATTTTTCGAATTTGACATTAATATAAAAGAAAACAATAGGTCAAAAATCACAAGAGAACGTCAAATGTTATTGATTCGTACGGGGGAATATGAACTATGGCTGTGGCTCGATAACATTCTGCAAGCAGCTTACAAGTTTAAAAAATGAAGGCTACATTACCTGAGTGAGTTGTAATCCTATTTCTTCAACAATAGTTTCATATTTCCTACGATTTTGGTGTTGTATAGACGTTTTGTAGCCTTGTTGGTTGTTTGTTTTGGCCATACAAACTACGACAATAATACAAAGTCAAAGGTTTCCGTTTTCGATTGACTCCAGCATCTTTTGCTTTAAATATCATGTTATATTTTCTCAGAAGTATTTTTTTCAACTTTCAAGCTCAGTTTTATAGCTATTATTTTCGAAAAAAGCCGTAATATTCAGGAAAAAAGCTGCCATAGCCGACTGCAAAAAAAACATTTTGTCAATTTTCCCGCGTTTTTCCCCGTTTCCTAGGATACGAGGCCTCACACGATTTATGAATAAGGTCTATTAGTCGCCATTCTCGCCAAATGCCTTCGACACCGCCATCTGTAAAAGCCAAGGTTGGTTGTCATCTGCTAAAGGCCACTCTGATCGCATCTTGCCTTATTTTGTTGGGCGGAGATATTTCGCAAAATCCTGGCCCTGGATATCGTAGTTTGGACCACATTAGGAAGAGCCGTGGGTTGAAGATTGCACATTTAAATATTGGAAGCCTTCGGCATAAAACCGACTCGTTACGTCTGGAGGGTTTTGACACGAAGACTTTTGATTTCTTACTCTGAGCGAAACATGGCTTAATCCATAGTTAATAGAAATAATAAACATGGTTAGGAAGGCCGGGTCACGTGATCACATATGTTATTGTCGGTCGGCACTATATCATAGACAAGATACGTACAAATCTGAAACTGCAATGCATACAAGTCAGCGGTATTCCATTTTTAAAATTCAAATAAATTAGTGCGCGAAATTGGAAAAAACACGCGAAATCAAAGCAATATGGCTTCCATCGAAGAGTGACCGAGTGCTTGTTTGCGCTTCACAAGCAGAAATGCTTGACAAATTTGAAGAGTACAAAATAAAAACAAGTAGTGGTTGGAGATGTATCAAATCAAATGCACTTTTTGGTAAGTGAACTAATTTCAATATGTAAATTTGTCTTATAAATATTCATACGAATACCGTGTGTGCAATATTTTAATATGAAAGATCCAAATTATGCATACATAAAGCCTTTATCGATTTACTGCAGTACTACACTCGTATAACAGGAGGTAGCTCATATAATAAAATAGTATGTGCTTTAGAATTATATAGTAAATCTTAATACTGGATAAAAACCTTTCATAGGGGGCTACTCAATAATAATGGGGGGGCGGGGGGCGGGCGTTGGGTGATACATACCAAATATTGAACTTTTTTAGAGCTGCCCCAATATCGCAAGACCTTTATTTTGAAGATGCCCCCACCTTCATTTACAAATTTAGGATGCCCCCTCCAACATTTAAATTGTTACTTAGTTGGTGTAAAATAGGTAATGGTACAAGTACTGGTGTAAGACATTGTGTAGCCTAAATAATAAGAGAACCAGTATAATGGCATAATGCTCACTAGGGTAAGTTCAAAAACCAAGGGCCCCCGACAGTTAGGGGCCCCCATCAGCCACAGCCTATCACCCAGAAAATTAGACTGAAAACGTAAAAAATGCAGGTTACGAATCGATGGAAAAATACAAAATTAATAATGCTAAATAATAAACCCTCCATCAACGATGGTATTCCATCTCAAATAGAACAAAAGTTATTCTTAAAAGTTAATTGTTACATGTGTTGGAGACTGTTATTGTCATTGTTATAGACATAGAATTTTCCATTCTACTGATAAATATTCAACATAAAGATAAAATCTTAGTCAGGCAATAACAGTCAATAGGGGCCACACCCCCCTGGCCCCCTCTTCCTACATTATGCCACTGGCCCCTCTCCCTGCCTCCCATTATTAATAACCGGTGATCCCTAATCATTCATTATATACATTTCATACAATTTCATATTATTTAATTAATATATACATCACACTATAAACACAGAAAGTCAGAAACAAGTGCTAATACTAAATGGTAGAAATACACAATAATGGAAAAAGGCTTTCAGTCAATTATTTGCCAGTATGATATTCGTATGCCTATATGATGTTAAGATGTATCATCTTATATGCCCTGTTCATATGAGCCAGACTAGCCTGCCTTGCCAGAATAGAAATTGTTATCATATGAGTCAGGATATTGGCAAACCAAGACACTGAAGATAAGCCTGGCTAACTAGGCCAGCTCGAGTCATCTAATGTCCATTTCATGTACTATATATGCATATAATCACTGCATAATCTGCAATAGCACAACATATTTCAACTTTTCATATTTTCATGCACTTAATAATATTAACAACATGTTAAAAACAGTTGACTAGGATGTCAAAGGTTAGGTGGATGCATTCTTTGGAGGCAACAAACCCAATAATTATTAACCCAACAATTTGTAACAAATATTTTATTAATTGACAACAATTATTTTATTATTAAATATTGAGTATTTTAACAATTATTTTATTAAAATATTGATTCTCTTCATTGCTGAAATCTAACATTGATCATGTTATGGATGCAACTTGAATGTGTGTGTGTGCGTGCTGGATTGGCAGGGCAAATCATCTGGATTGGCAGGGCAATGAAAGGTTTTAAATGGTAGAATGTAGAGTTATTAAGTAGCTTCCAGGGCTTGCCAACTTTTTTAGGAGAAATAGTGCCCCCAAAAAATTTTTGCCGGAGGGCATCATCGCCTTTTGCAGGGCAATTCTAACAGACACCCCCCAATTGAAATGGGCTAGTTTCGCCCCTGCAGGCAAATAAGCATCCACCTAGCCTTTGACACCCTAGTCTGTTTTTAATGTTGTTAATATTAACTCATTAACTGGCAATGTGAATGTGCCCAAATGTCTGTCTAACACCAGACGATTAATTACTCATCAGTGGTAGAGTACTGCCAGTAAATGGGTTAAAATGTTAAATATGAGTTAAGTTGAAATCGGTTGTAATAACCAATTGATTCATTAACCTATTAAGTTGCAAGACTCTCCTTGATGAGCAAAATCATCTAGCGTTAGAAAGAGTAAAAATTCATTTTGTTATCTGCCGTTGTTGGAAGTTCCTTTTCCTTGAACATTTTACTAACGATTTGCTGTGTCATCTGCTGCTGTTGGAAGTTCCTTTTCCTTGAACATTTTACTAAAGATTTACTGTGTCATCTGCTGCTGTTGGAAGTTCCTTTTTCTTGAACATTTTACTAAAAATTTACTGTGTTATTGTACATAATTTCTAGGGAAAATATAAGAAAAATTCAAATGTTGTATTTCCAAAAATATGCACTCAGACTTTGAAATTTTAAATTTGTGGACCAAGGGGGAGGGACAGCTTAACCAAGGCATACAAAAATTAGATGTACCAGGCGACAACATTTTCTGGGGGGGGAGTTCCCCGGCTCTGGCTAGGTTACTGTACAGTATTCTCTAAAGCAATAAAATATTATTAATATTCTAACTAATAATTATTACTAATTATTAGTAAATATTTATTATTTATGTTGCTCTATTAGTCAATTGCGCAAGGCAGATTAAAAGAGTGACTAACAGACTAAACAGTGATGGTGCGACCATAGTTGGGTTTCAATCTGAATCCTGCACATGACCTGTGACACTTTTATAAAATTTGGCGGTCAACTCCAAAAGGAAACACATTGAGTTCATTATTCATAACAGTATATTAATTCACCTTGTATTCAATAAGCAAGTACAGAACATTTAACAAAATTTGCTCGCTTTCACAAGGCATATAAGCGTCAAACATGCAAAGTTGACCACCATGTGTTTTCCTATGAATATGTCACCAATAAATACTATGCCACATGTGGGCTATATTTTCCCCTTGGAAAATAAAAACACGTTGGCTACGGTATATATACTGTAATAATGTTTATGAGTTAAAATGATTTTTAAATATTAAACCCCATACCTATATTTAAATCTCCATTTAATGACTTGGTTTAATATTGTGAAAATGCACCATTTGTAATGACGTGTTTATTGCGTTTATATTGTTTATATAAAGTTTACCGCACTTGAAATACCGCTGACTTGTACGTATTGCAGTTTCAGATTTGTACGTATCTTGTCTATGATATAGTGCCGACCGTTATTGTCTCGTCGTAATTGAAATCCGAGTGCACAATGGCGCATTCATTAATAGAGTTTATTAAGGACCACCTTGGTTTTTTCGCATTTTCCGGCGCTATATGCGATGGTAGGAGCAAATTGTAGTATATTCGGCTGTGGTTCGAACAGAAGACATTGTGGTATAAGTATATTTTCTATTCCGAAAGGCAAAGA